TGAAGAGAGTTTCTCAACTTGCCATGAGAGCCATTCAAAATCTTTGACTAGGCAGTGTCAGTTTCACTATAGTCAACACGCGTTTCCCATAAAAGCAACGAGTAAAATGATATTTTTCATTCTATACAAGGACTTACTTCAAACTCATGTGAAGCCCACAGATTCTGCGATCAAAGAATGAATCCGAGAGAATTCTGTGAGGAAGTTGTGTCTTATAAGAAGGTTGAAAAGAAGGCAAAACGACCCTTAAAACATTTATCAGTGGCTTGGGGAAAAGTTTGAAATTTCCCTGTCTTCTTTTATTGATTCATATTCTAAATTCACTTCCCTTATCAAATTTACATCACACTCCGAGTGTCTAAGCTGTTTTAAGGTCGAAGTCAAAGCCGTAAGAACATTTTGTAATCAACGGACGTGTGATTAATTGGTTTCACATGTTGGTAGGAGAAGCTTTAGTCCCCGTCTACTGGTTACTTTCTCCCCTTCCCTGTCTCCCTCCATGAAGGGATGGGGGGCGAGGCCCCATGCCCCTCCTATGGATCCGCCACCGCTATACATATACAAACCACTGAACATTGCTTAGGGGACCCCTGTGCCCATCCTCTAGATCCGCCACTGCTATACATTATCAAACCACTGAACATTGCTTAGGGGATACTCAAACTCGGCATACATTTGCCACGTGAGATTAATAAACCTTGTGCAGCATTATTCTGCATAAGAATCATGGTGCCTCTTTTAAAATATCAACAACGAAATTTTAAGCATTTCGTGCAATCTATTTAATTTCAGACCATTTCTATGGCCAACTGTGTTGGGTCACAAGATCTTACTGTAAATAAATCTACTACAAAATATGTGTCTTTTTTCCTAATAATAACTACTGTATTTATCATTATAATTCCAAATAATTGTCAAGGACTAGAAATTTTTTCACCACCTTGTGGCTGGAAGACAAGGATGATGAGGACTAAAAGCCCCTTGCTTAAAGTGGTCATTCAATTATCTTAGTAAATATCAATTTTTATACTACTACTTGACTTAAGTAAAATTGAAGACTTCTTGTTTCCAGAAAAAGTGTTTTTTATGGTATTACACTAAAACCAACTAAAAATCCTTGAAAATCGTAATTATGATGTGTAGACTTTTGATGGTGTTCTAACAATATAAATAATTAAAACATTTGACAAATAAAAAGTAAAGGACCTTGTCTTTAAAGCAATCTACCATGGCATTTTTAATGATTCAGAAATAACAGATTAAAAACCTAAAGATAAAATAATGATAAAAAGCCAAAATGAGAGACTCCAAATCTCAAAATTTGTAATTGTTCATTTGTTATTGGCACTTCTGAACCTCAAGCTTGTTTGCAAGCCTAGAGGTACCTTAACAGATGAAAAAGATGGTCATACTTTTCTAAGCACTAAAAGGAGTGGCAGCTACCCAAAAAAAAAAAATAAATAAATAAAGGGTGGGGTAAAGAATATGGCCTCAAATAAAGCATCACCAAATTCCAAATTCCCAGGAGTTGGCATCTCTGAAATCATTTCTCTCTTTTTGTGGGCACTTAACAAGGAGATATGGTATACTGACAATACACCCTTTTAAACTGCAAGAAAAATTCATTTCCTTCCAAGAATATCTTGTAGTTACGCAAAACTAAATCCATTACCAGTCACTATAGAGTTGAACATTAAATTGACAAACCCGTCTACTAATTTTATCCTTATCCTTTTTTATCTATCTTACAGACCCCAGGCAACAGACTGGTGTTTGCCTGGCAGCAAAACAAAATTTTTCCATTTAAAGACCAAAACAATCTGCAATTCGACAAGTTATGCTAATTGGAGAGAATAACCTTCATCACCCAATTGTTGCATAATATCCATCCCAATCAGCAAGTCTGTGTGTGGAGCTACAGCACCAACTAGAGCATTGACAGGAAATTTGCGCCCTCTTATTTTAATTTTAATTGGTACCGTGCAACACTGCAGAGCTGCATCTCCTGGTATTGTGACCTTCTTTTTCTTAGTGTTATCAGGTTTCAGACCCAAAGCATCCACCAGTTTATTGGATATAGCAGTCCCACCTGTATTTCCAGTATCAAATGTGACATTTCCTGGGACCATAATAAGATGGCCAGCCTCATCCTCAATTTCAACAGGCTCCTCATCAATTGAGATCTCCTTGGGCTTCAGCTCTTTCAAGCAAAACAATTTTACAAAATTTACACAATGAACTTTTACAAAACAAAGTCCTGTGGATAGTTTGCCGCCCCCCCCCCCCCCTCATCAAGGAAGGAAAAACTGGAAAACCTTTTAAGTCAAAGAATAGGCACAGGGTGAGAAGGGCTTACACTAAAACTCAGTAAATAAACTTTTTGTTGAAAACCATCAAAAGTGACTGGTGACTTAATCACAAAACTAGGCAAAAACTCAATATGACTTCAGCAGCTCTAGGTTTTTTAGAGTCTCCTAAAGTGAACAGATTATATATCTAAGACTTCACCCACGAAGCCTAAGCCAGATATTATTAAAGATAAGCCTTGAAAAGAAGATTCCTTATAAGGCAATCATGAAATGGATACTGATCAGATCACCAAAACTCGATTGGCCCGCATCACTTTAAAGGGATAATTAGAAAAAGAAAATGAACAAACTTCTTGTTGGAATAATGTCCTAAAAATTAGGCCCTCTGTAGTGGCATTTCAGACCATTGGCAACAATGTTGAACATCTGTAGCAATAACGAATTTGAATATATGAAAATCACATATGTGTAATGCAGTTTCATGAAATGTATGAAAGCATTCCTCTCGAGTAGTAGGGTTCATTTATGTAGCAGTGAAAATAAGGCCTGAAAAAAATTCAGGCCCTTATGGGATTTGAACCCCTGACCTCTGTAATGCCATTGCAGTGCTCTACCAACTGAGCTAGCAAATCAAATGGGAGCTGGTCATTAAGTTGGTTATTATTTTTTTGGTTTAAAATGAACCAACATAATGACCAGCAATGTTTGCATTTTACATTAAAACAATAAAAAATTTGATTCATTTTCAATATGATTTTGAATGCTACAATAGACAACAACTTTTCTAAAATGTAGTATCAAGGAGCCATTTTTAGACACTTTTAGGTGTAGCAACTGCCCTCTCAAGGAAAATATACATTGCTACAGTTCCTCGAGCAATCAAGATTTAGATGAATAACAGTGAAAAGCTAACAAATAGAAAGCAAACCATCCAAAGGGAAACTAGTGGTAAGGCAAGCTGGCATATGTGGGAATTAAGCAACAAGTTCCCTTGAAGTTTTTATGAGTTTAGAGAAGGATTGTGGCACATATGATGTGCTGAGCTTATTCACAATAATTACAATACTTACTAAGAATCAGGCCCTCGCAGACTGCCTGATAGGTAGGGCTCCTCACTCCATACTCAGGTTCCCTCATATTCACGAGAGCCACCTCTCCAACATCATCATCACTTGCATGACTGAGTTGCAGTCTGACAGGTGCAGTGGTGAGCACAAGATTTTCTCTACAATTCAGCTTAAGGTTCACATGCTCACCAAGTTTTGTTTTGAACCTTATTCTTTCATTTGCAATGATACCATATTTCAAGCTGACAAGGCACAAGGATTGCTTAGGTCTGCAATTTTGATAGATCCCTTTAGAACCTTTAGGTGCTATATTTGCCTCAGGAAAGGCATCTTTTATGCCTCTGTAAACACCATCATCAAAGCTTAGGTCCAGGAGAATCTTATCAACATCCTGAAAAGAAAAAAAAACAAAACAGCTAAATGAATGCCTTAGCTATGTCTCAGCACACAAAATAATGTACTGTATGTACTATTTATTAAAGCTCTCCAGCCAAGTTCAGGCTTATCTTTGGTTTCTTGCAACAAATCACTTCGACCAAACTCCAACAAACTATATAGGAAGTATATGGAATATAATGATAACAATTAAAATAATGGAAATATTTAGACCTACCTGAGCTAGAATACAGGTTTTAAGATTAAATCAGTAATTTTGATGGAATTACTGCTTAAATCTTACAATCAGTACTCAGACTAATTTACAATATTTTATGGACGCTCGCTTTAAGAAAGAAATGGGGGTTTTCTTCAAACTTTTTACATCAGAGGCTCTCAATATCCAGCAAAATTTCCATAATACCTCATTATGTATGCATTTTCTTTGATAAAAGAAAGCACTGATGAAAATAAATTACCTTTGGGACTAACACTTTTTTTCAGAATACTGTGGGATTAAACGGAGATCTTCCATTATTTCTGATGAACTTCGGTCCACAAACTTCAGATTGTAAATGCGTTTTGGTTTTCTCTTAAAGTAATTTTTTTGCGTCAAAAAGACCTACAGTCGAAAGAACAAAATGAAGGTTCAGCATCTTCATTTTACTGTTGTCATTTTACACTCATTCGGATAGCATGCAAGACGTTCATTTCAGTCTTTCTTACAGTGTGCCAATTACAATAATTAATACGTATTATGATGCACGATCCTCGCAGTAGATACAATAATTAACTTTCTTAATTAACTACAATAATTAACTTTCACACTGGTTTTTGAACGAACCGTAATATCTCCATGTTATTAATCTTTGGTACAATTTCCACGATTTGAGCCACTGATAAAGAATAATCACAAGTTGTAAGCGAGAGTCACCGTATAAATCCCGAATACAACTACACCTAGCCTATAATTTCAGCCTACTCTTTACCTGTCGTTGACACTTTGTGTTCCCTCGAAAGAGGTACTCATCTCCGACTTGAGCGTATTTGACTACTGAACCAAAGCGAATTTTTTCCTGCTCGACTTCTTCGTTTTTCCAAAGGTGTTTGAACTCGCTTGTAGCTAAACGAAAAGGTTCACCCACGCCGAGGCCATCTTTGTCGATTTCTCTGACAAAAATGGCTGTGTTACGTCCACTGTCAGTCTTGGCAATACTTATGACGACACAAAAACCTTCCTTAGTGTTTCCTAAAGAAACAGGAGTCGCCCTAACCATCATTTTTAAACAAAAACATTTGCTTTATCCAGCCAAGGCTGATTTCGATTTCCAAAAGAGAGTTGAAAAGGCCGCTTCTTGAAGACTTGTAGATTGGTCAGAATTGAACACGTGGTGTAGCTAAAGGAAAGCCTGTCATGTACGCCAGCACAAATAGCTCTTTGACTAATAAAAATATACATATACCGGAAAATTCCGCTTATAAGCATCCCGCTTATAATTGAAGCCCCACCTGGTTATAGGCGCATCTATTTGGAAACAAAAATATTTATCCGGTTATAAACGCCCCAGATATTAGCACTCCTCTAGTTTTCCTAGTTTTATTAAACTAACCTTGCCTTAACCTTAAATCTCTCTGTGCCTGGAGCCACATAAGGTTTGGACGTCTCTCCACCACTGCGTTCGGTCTGCAGTTGCATGGCGTACAGCACTCCATGTTTTCCAGCCTGCGCCGTTTCTTTCCTTTTCCGCCATTCGCCGCACATTGCTCTTCCGCAATGTGTTGTTTCCGGTCGGCCTCTTTTCCTTCTTCCCTCTGGTGTCCAACCAAGGGCCACAGCACAGTCGTCGTTCCTCTCCTTCCTCATTATGTGCCCAATCCAGTTCCATCTCCGTCTCCTCACCTCCTCGCTGGTCTTTCCTGCTTCTGCCATCTCGAGAACTGTCTTATTGGAGACATCAGTGTTGCCATCGGATCTTAAAAATCCTCCTTAGACACTTGGTCTGGAAGGTGTCAAGCTTCTCTTCCTCTCCTTTTAGTCATTTTACAAGTCTCGCATCCGTAGAGTAGGACGGACATCACAAGGCTCTTGAAAAGAGAAGCTTTGGTCTTTCTGCTTATGTCGCTGGATTGCCAGCTGTTTGTTAAACTAAGATGACGTCAAATTAACTGAGAGAGTAAGTGCAGGAAGCCTCGCCGCCGTGAACTAGACAGTAAGACTTTTTAGGTATTTTTTTTAAAAAATAATAACTATATGTTAGCGTATAGATTGGTGTATTGTGGTGGAGTGTAAAAATCTGATCAGCGCAATTTGGTGTATCTCTAAGCAATCTGATTGGCGCATCTTTTTTTGGTGTATCTCAACGCAAAGTGATTGGCCCAATTTTTTGGTGTATCACAAACCAATCAGATTGTAGTATTTTTCGATGTCGCGCCAATCAGAGCGTTCTTGCTAACTTGTGGTTTGACAGATCTACAAATTTCAGCGAATCAACGCTTGAGTCGGAGAGAGCGGTTCGCGAATTAAGGAAATGTATCAATCGTGTTGGGAAAGTGGTGGAGTTGTGATCGTTGTACGACAATGCTTATTCTTCCTTTCTAAAGGGGACTGAGTGGAACATGAGAAAAATTTTGAATCAAATATTACTTCAGATGTTGATAGGCGCAACTTCAGGATATTATATTGCTATATATGAGTTAATCAGCGATTCCAATTTTGAATGTCGCTCAAGGAACGAGGTGAGATGACATCTACAAGAGTTGTAAGATCATCTATTCAATGTAATGGCTCATGTCCTTCGTGAGGATTGTATCGCTATGATCTGTCTGAATTTGAAAGGTCGTCAGGGAACTTTTTCTACCGATTAGCGAGTTAAAACGTGCATGTTTTGTGTACCGCTCCTTCACTTACGACGCACACACCATCAGTTGGAGGCCTAACACGAATTTAGCGCTATAGCGTGTTTTTTTCGAAGGGCTAGTTTTGCTGACTTTAGTAAAACTTGCGCAAGACATTTGCATAAATCATATTTGATTGATAATCTTTTTTTTTGCCATATGGTTTCTCTTTTAGCAGCAGATGAAACGACCACCAAGTTATATTTACTTTCTGCGTCAACTACCATGTTACATATCCGTCTATTTGCTTCTAAAAGTTCCCATGTATTAAATATTGTTTAAACGATACTTTCCCGTTACAATTACGTGTTACTTTTTACTCGCCAGTATGGATTACACTTTCTCAGATGAAATGCCATTTCCAGTAAACAACGTAAACTTTATGACATAAATCTACCTCAATGAAAAATATTTCACAAGGGACAGAATGGTACGGTCGGTTAATTTTCCACGCAACTCTCACGTGTTTAGACGTTTTCTACCAATAAAATTCGCTTTTAACTAATCTGGACTTTACCCCATTGCGTGTCAATTTCCTGTAAACAACTTGCATTTTATCACGTATTTCGCACGCGCAGAGCAAAGTCCAGATAGGCAACAAACCAATCAAGTGGCCCACCTTATTATCCTTTGGAGAGTGATACTTTCTCTTGCTTCAATCTACTTCACTTTTCGAAGAACGGAGACCGGGAAATATCTTTGTCCAGAGGCTGTAAGAGATAAAATAGAGCTTTACACTGCAAAATAACATGGAAGATTATTTTGAGGCAACCATCTGTTACTGAACAAGAGACTACACGGAGCCTATATTTGGGCCGGATTTGTGGATCAGCGGATTGAATTGAATTGGTTCGAATTCAGGGCTTTGCTATTTTAGCAAAATCGCTGTCGAGTGCTTTCTATGGTTTGTTAACATCATGGAGAGTTATGGAACAAGTCGATGCCATCCATGACAATTTCGAAATACTAAAATCGCCAGAGGAAATGCGGGACCACTCATTAAAAATTTGCATTTGAACGCGATGACTTCATCTAATAACAAACCTTTGAAGTTTTTTTTGCCTCGGAACGACATATCACAGAAGGTATTTTATAGACCTCGAGATTTTTGACTGATTGAAATTAAAGGTATGTGGCAGTGACTTCCACAAGTTTTTTTTTGGTCAGAAAAGTATAATTGTTTTACGTATGATGCACGACCCTCGCAGTAGAGAGCGCTATTTAAGCAATAGCAAAAATCAGACCTGAAAAAAATCAGGCCTGTACGGGATTCGAACCACTGACCTCTGCGATACTAGTGCAGCGCTCTACCAATTGAACTAACAAGCCAACTGGGAGCAGGCCGTTAAGTTGATTCGTAATAAACCTGTGATGATAAATCAGATATAAATTCGTGATGATAAATCAGATATAAATGTATCTGATTTATCATCATGGGTTTATTACGAATCAACTTAACGGCCTGCTCCCAGTTGGCTTGTTAGTTCAATTGGTAGAGCGCTGCACTAGTATCGCAGAGGTCAGTGGTTCGAATCCCGTACAGGCCTGATTTTTTTCAGGTCTGATTTTCGCTATTGCATAAATAGCGCT